GAGAGACAGACAGACAGACAGACACAGGCAGACACAGACAGAGAGACAGAGACAGAGACTGAGAGAGGAAGAGACAGAGAGAGAGGAACACACACACACACACACACACACAGATCACCTAGATGTGATCAGTTAAACACACCACCTGCACATGATCCATCTTTGCTCCTACCGACTCTCGTGTCTGCATCCTCCCTCCAGCCCCTGCCGTGTTCAGCCACATTCTGTGTGGATCCCCACTCGGGACCCTGTCAGGGAGCTCTCGGGATTCTGGTTCACTCCTCTGAACATCCGCTCAGCACCCAGCACTCTCCGCCTTCACCCCAACTCCTGGCTGCTGCAGGACCAGCCAGCTTGTGTTCAGCTCTGTGTCCTGGTCCTTCCCGGCCCTGGCTCTCTGCTGTCCAGTTATTTTCACAGAATCACCCTCAGTCTACACAACTGGGTGTGTGTCCTGCACCAGGGCACCCACCCCTCAGAGCCCTCAGGCCTGAACCATGTGCCAAGTGCCCCTGTCAGGAGCCAGTGAAACTCACCATTGAGGTTCCCTTGGGGACAGGTGGTCCAGTCCACCGTCCCACCCCAGCTCCCTGTTCTCCACTGCAGCCCCTCCTCCACCACTGAGCCATCAGGAGATGGATGAGGAACTGAGATGCCTCTGCGTCTTCCAACAGGGCCCCACAGGGAGTGTGAGCCCAGATACTTTACTCCAGGAAGCCTGAGAGATAGAGGAAAATGAGCTAGAGAGGAGCTGAGAATCCAGCATGGGGGTGTGCTTAGTACTGGTGCAGGCTCCTGGGCAGGATCTGCCCCTGGGTTCTCTCCACAGATCCCCCAGATCCTGGATAGTGTCCTGCTCATGTCCCCTGGCTGGCAGTTCAGATGCCCATGCAGGGATAGTTTGCAGCATCCCAGAGGAGATGCCCAGGAGCAGAACTGAGGGATGGGTGCTCAGCAGGGGGCAGGGGGGCAGCTCTGCCTGATGAGCCCAGGCCTGAGCTGCGGGAGCACAGGGGCACTGGCTGGGACTCTGCTCTAAGAGCACTCAGTTCCCTCACCTCGGAAAGGAGCCTTCACCTTCCGGTCTGTGGTCAGATGGTGGCTGAAAGCAAGCCTTCTCTCAATGAGACCGTCAGGGGCCAACGTGGTGGGACAGCAGCAGGACCGCAACATAAGCCCCTGGGCAGAGGACACTCACTGCTCTTCCTGGCACACTTCAACCCACTCTGATGAGACACACAAGCGGCGAGTTCGCAGGAATGAGAGACTGCTACCCTGAGAAATCCTGTGGACTTGACGATTAGTCATGTGAAAGGTCTCAGATTTTGGACACTGGTCCCGTGTGTGACTCAGTCTCCCCTGGCCTTGCTGTGGGTTCCACCTCTGAAGTGTCAGTTATGGGCACAGTTGTCTGGTTTGTTCCCAATGACCAGAAGGCCAAATTGGCTAAGAACGTGGAGTTTCACTGAGATCTGAAGGGCGCCTACCTGGGGGAAGGGTCTGCATCTCTGTTTCTATATGACATCTTCCCCTTTTGTTTTAACCCTGGGCCTGATTCTCCTGCCCTCTGCAAGTGGACACGTTGGTCATTTTATTCTTTTTTTTTTTTTTTTTTTTTTTTATCGGTACCAGGGATTGAACTCATGACTGTCTGCTTGCAAGGCAGGCGCTTATACGTTGGTCATTTTAAAACGTTTCTTACAAGAGCACAGTGCAAGCCTATTTCCTGTGAGAGCTACTCTGTGATTTCTTTCTCTTCTGTCTACCCTGTTCTCTGCCCCAGCACTGGTGCATTCCCAGAAGCCACCAAATCCCAAGCATGTAAAGTCCTTGGACCCTGCCATCAGGCCTAGATCCCACTCGGGGTGCTTTGCCCAGAAGCATGCAGTCACCTGCACAAAACTCCAGCATCCTGCAGGATAAGTCCATGGTGGCCACATGATGGTCTAAGTCCTGCGCCACAAGAAGAAACATCTCTGGAACTGTGGCCCTGAGCAGTGAGACTCAGCAGGCTCCAGCCCACAGTAAATCAACAAAAATCTGCTCCTCTCTCTGGGAGCATCTTGTGCTTGTCTCCACCACTGCTGGCTCCACTGGGTGGAGGGGGACCCCCACCCCCAGCTCCTTGCTGCACCCTGTAATGTGCAGCACCTGCCTGGGACCCTGTCACCCTTCTCTCCCTGATCAGCAGACCTTGTCCTCCAGCAGCACCTGCTCATGCACGCTCTCTTCTCCGCTTTACATTTCTGATGTAGCAGACATGACGTGAAGGTCTTATGGATTTACTGTGGTCTTATCCAGAAGACACCAAGGTCTTATGGATTTACTGTGTTGCTGTCACAGCTGCTGCCGCTGCTGTCATTTCTCTTCACCAGACATTAAGCTCAGCCAGGATGGGCTCCACGTGTTTTCCTCACAGCCCTGTACCCCATTTTGATCACCAGCAGGTACACAGTGTGCATCTGTCAGATGGCTTTGGATTGACCTAGTAATACTGCACACTTGGGCTGCTTCAGAGGTGGGGAGCTCTCCTGGAGCCTCCGCACCCCAGCACAGAGCAGGGTCCCTTGGCCTGCACTCTCCTAAAGTTTGGTTTTGGCCTAAATAAATAGAGCACAGAGTCGACATCAGTTGTGACCACCTGGGCTACAAGGAGCCCCAGGAGATGAAGTGGAAAGCAGGGCTGGAGCCAGGGTTACTTTTCCTGCCTTGCACTCGAGCCCTGGTGCTGCTTCAACCCAGCAAGCATGAGAGAGGACCTCACCTTCAGGAGGCGGCGCCTGGGCCGGGACCCTGCAGCCTCCTCCTGGGCACCATCGGCAAGGCAGGTGCCCGTACTGCGGGGACCACACAGAGGGGGAGGTGCGTCTACCCCTGGGAAGCAGCTGGCTTGTGGGAGCCAGCAAGGGCCCTGAGTGAGTTCACACAGCAGGCAGCAAATGTGAGGGAAGACACTTTGAGCAAAGCTGAGTTCTCCTTTTAGTCAGTGAGCATTTCACCGAAATAGTGAATAAATGTAAGACTTTAGCCTGGGTTTTATATATGTAGTTGGGAAAGGAAATCACTGTGTGCATGTGCTTGTGTGTGTGTGTGTGTGTGTGTGTGTGTGTGTGTGTGTGTGTTTGTAACATACTACTGTGCTGTCCTTTGAAGAGGCACAGTAGAAGGGCCGTCCTGCAAGCCATTTCAGCGGTTCTTTCTGGAAGGATGGGTGGCTTCTCGCTTGTTATTGACATATTTTTATATAATTCATGATGAAAACTGAGACTTTTAAGAAATTAAAGACTGAGCTTTTCAGCACAGGATCAGTGTAAGGAGAAGCCCTGGTGGAATGGTATTTTCCACAGGGTGGAACCTGGTCCCCTCTTCCCTGAGATCACAGCACTGTGCGTGCAAATTAAGATGCTGTTTTGTGTCTGATAAGGTGCTTCTGTCTGCAGAAACTCTGATCAACAATTAACAGTACGCTTTTGCAGCATCACAAGAGTTCCTGAAGGAGGTAATTTAAGTGTTAGTTTATAAGCTCAGTCCCACCTGAGCCAAAAGCTATGCTATCTGTGGGTTGTTTCTACTACTCACAAGACAGCTGCAATGATTCCAGCCATCACAGTAGTGTTCATGGTAGGAAAGAGCAGGAAAGTGAAAAAGAAAATTGTATGTGCCTTTTCCCAGACTGTGTGGCTAACTCCACTTCTACCTGACTGGCCAGAAAGGCACAACAGACTTGGTGCCACCCACTGACTGTCCCACCACCCACACTCCATGGGGAATTTGTCATGCCGCTGTTCCTGTCCCATGTGTAAGAGCTGCTTTTCCCTCTACTTCAGATATCTCCTAAAGTGTCCTCCTGTATACACAGAAGTCCACTCCACAGATGCTGTCAATTTCCAGTCCTCACCCACAGTCCACACTGCCAAAGTCACTTTCCCCAGATTTTCCAGGCAGCACTGATCTGACGGATTATCCTCTGGGGTCCAAATGGCAACTGACAGCTGCCCAGGGGCACCTAGCCTGGAAACGCCCCTGCAAACCTAGAAGACTGGTGAACCCTTACACTGCAGCTCCCACAGGCCACAGAGGGTCCGCACTGAGCAGACACGCTGCTGATGGCTGAAACCATGCTGCCCCCAAAGGGCCAAAACCAGGCAACATCTGCTCAAAAGACAGAAGTCAGGATACTTGGCTCTCCAGCCACCTCTATAGCTCATTCGGTCCTAGAATCCCACCATCAGCCACAGGAGATGCTTAGAAATGCATGATGGGAAACTCAGGGAGCATCCGCCTCATTTTCTCACTTCTAGCTGAACTGCAGAAAGCAATCAGGGGCTGTGAAAATGGAAAGCAGACTTGAAGTTCCAGGTTTAGCTCAGGTTCATCAGGGCGGTGCTGCTGAGGAGAACAGTGGTTGTAAGGTGGTGATGATTATTTCAGTGCTAGTTTATCTGAGGTCCAGGAGGTGCCCAATATCATCAGGCAGTCATGATCGCGATCTCATTCCGTCCCCGAAATGACCCATGGGAAAGCTCCACCATGGTCCCCATTTTACAGATGAGGAACTGAGTCAGAGGCAGGGGCTGCAGCCCCACTGCCGGTGCTAAGTGGACAGCAGAGCTGAGCTCAGGAGTCCTGGGTCCCTCGCCGCAAGGTCACACCCGTGGCCGCCTGTGCTGTAAGTGTCTCCATGTGCGGCCCCTAATTAAGCCCATTAGAAATACTCCATCTGCCACACTCCCACGAGGGCCCAATAAACTCCTTAACTCTCACTTAACACAGTACAGCACTCAGCCAAGCTCCAGCTCCACATTCCAGTTCTTTCAGCCTCAGAGAAATGACTGCAGGGCCCAAAGCTCCTGTCTGCAGTTTCCTCCGGGAGCTCAGCCATCGATGGCCTTGGGGTGAGGAGAGGGGGAGCTGGAGAGGGGGCTGCGGCTTCTCATTTGTTTCCACCGCAGATGGATGCGGCCACTTCTTCAGGACGCTGCCTCTACCTTCAGGGAGAGACTGAGGGAGGAAGGAATGAGGGAGGAAGGGGAAAAGAGGGGGGAGAGGGAGACAGAAAAGTAGAAGGAGGCAGAGAAGGGAGAGGAGGAGGAAGAGAGCCAATTCCAATCCTCTTACCCACCCTGCATATCTTCACAAACATTTATCATCAGACAGCCTAAATATTTACCTGGAGTCAGAGGAAACAGCCAGCATGGTGGAACAGGCCGATTGTCTCAGCACTCTGGGAGGCTGAGGCAGGAGGGTCACAAATTCCACTCTGAGCCTCAGCTGGAAAACTTAGTGACTTAGTTTTGAATCAAAATCAAGGCAGCCACAGCAGCAGGGCTGAAGACACTCACACAAGAGGACTCCCTGGACTCCTTTGGAAAGGGGCAAACGTGACGAGACAAGTGTGTTTGAAGCAGAGGGGAACAGGTGAGAGAGGGTGGACGGCAATGTGTCCTTTGCTGTAATTTTTAAATTAAGCGCTCACCACATAGTGGATCGCACCTGCCATAGTTTAACCCCTTCACAGGAGCAGAGAGAAGCCAGATTCATGCCGCCTGCCTGGCCCCAGGATGAAGATGCTTCCTCAAGTCTGGGACCTGTGATTAAGTGTAAGGTGTCTCCCTTCCTGTGTCCAAGTTTTCTGGCATGTGTGCACCCCTTGTTTACACATTTACACACACACACACACAAGCACATTCACTGATGAGTGTGTGTGTGCGTGTGTGTGTGCACACACAGGAACACCTAAGTCAAGCGTGGCTGGAACCAGTAAAGGAAGGAAACTTCAGGAGCCCGGAAGGCCCCACCCAGCCCTTAGTCTCCCCCTCGGGGTCCTGTCCTTGGGAAACCTCAGCCATCTACCCACTGCAGGGGAGTCAGGAACAGCCTTCCCGCCCCAACGTGCTTCTTTACTCTCTTTCCTTCTGCTTTGGCCTCTGTTGTCTGGTTTTCACCTCTGAACCTTGCCCCGGGACTTGAATGGCTTCACTAATTGACTCCACGAATGACTCATCCACCATTCTAGCAAAAGTAGATTGAACAACGGGATGGATAATGTGTTCCCTTAATAAGTGTGCTTGTGGATCTAAAGCAAGATTTCCCTTGCTAATCAACATGCTGTGAGCAGCTAAACACCACCACTCTCCCAGAGCAGACTTGGGTTCCCTTTTGACATGATGAGGGTTCATAGCTTGGCTGAACCGCTGATATGGTCTCTTCTGCCAACCACGCCCTAAGCTGAAGAAGCTCAAGGTCAACAGCTTTGCGTCCCCTTCCCAGGCAGCCAGTCTGCCTTACTGGTACCTCTGCATATCAGAGCGCCTCTCCCCTGGCCAGAGGCCCTGGGCATCTTCCTCTCTCAGCCCTTGCCCATGTCTCCACGGAGGGGTCTCAGTCACACACACACACACACACACACACACACACACACACACACACACGGGGTGTGTTCTTAACCCGTTCCTTTGTTCCGGCTCACACAGATGATGCTAAGTCTTAGCACTGAAGTGTGTGTCCTGTGTTCTCATCTGGGATAATTACAAGTCCCTCTGCATTTCTAGCAGGAGGGCATCTTCCCTCTTGGAGACCACCTCTGAGCTCTGATGACAGCCAGGGCTCTTCAGTTTGCTGACATTGACCCTTTGCCATCCAACTGAGGCTGCTGGAGAGATGCCACCTTGTCTGTCTCAATCAGCAAGAGAACCGAGGGCCCCATGGGGACCTCACCCTGACTCACTCACACTCAGTCAGGGCTGTGTCTGGGGCAGTGCCTCTCTCTGCCAATGGACACAGCAGCGGCCAGCGTGCACACTGGGAGAGCCACTGAGCTGCGTGGACATTCTTTCCCGGGAACCAGTCTTGCCTCTCCCATAGCTGAGATTCTCAGAGGCTCCTTGTTCCCCTCCCTGAAGGTCTGGGGGGCATTTTCAATTCCCTCCTGCAGGTGAGAATGGGCCACACTTTTAAGAAAATACCAGACAGGGAAAAGTTAAACTCAGCCACTGACTGCTTTTCTGCACTGGGAGTATGAAAAGACTGCTGCTCCAAAGACAAAAGCCAGTGAGTCTTAAGAAGGAATTAAGGCCACGTCCGGGATCCTCATTCCTTTGGCAGGAGCAGGCTCTGCGGTGTGGCCGAGGGACCCGTGGAAAGCAGTTTTGGCTGCAATGGAACAGCTCACGTCTCTCCCATATCTCAAAGCTCACTTCATCCAAAAGGCCAGAGCTGAACACAGATCCTCTCTGGCGTGTGCTCTGCAGGAAACAAAGAAAACAAAACAACAAATAAGCAACAGCCTTGGAGGAGCTCACAGTCTAATCAGAAGCTCACAGGTTGGAATTTAGGTCACTTTTCCTGAGAGGAATCCACAGCCTGAGGGGCAGAGCCCTGGAGAAGCGGGAACGCAGCTCCGGCCCTCGGATTAGAGCACCGAGGGGTGAGGCCCCGGCGGGGTCAACTTCCTTCTAGGTCTCCACTCTACCAAGCTCAGCGCCTGACCTGTCCTCTCAGGGCCACAGAACGGCTGCCTCATCTCTGGTGTCATATATACATCCCAAGATTGTGGAGACGGACACACGGGAAAGACAGACAACTTAGGCAATGAAAGAGTCTTCTTGGAAGCTCCTCCTGACAACTTCTGTTTACATTTCTAGGATCAAAACTGCAACCCATGAGCTTTCCTGCTAGCAAGTAACCTTTTGAGAAGTGGATCGATTCTTTGGTGAGAAGATAGAATCCCCGGTATTGAGAGAGGAGGAGGAAGTAAGTGTGGATACGCGAAGGCTTAGACCCCTGCAGGTGCAGGAAACTCACAGACGGCCATCAGCGGGGGGGGGGGGGGTGAGTAGGAAGGTGATAGTGGGGAGCCCTGAGGAGGAGGCTAAGCTGGAGGGGACCAGAGCCACAGGAAGCTGGTTCTCCTCCTCCCACAGCAGTGGGGCCTCAATCAAGCCGTAGTAGAGTTGTGCAGACTGTGAATCCCCAGGCTCCCGCAGAGCAGCTGTGCAGAGATGGGCAGAAAGTACAGCCACGCGTTAATCAGCTTTTCTGTGCTGCACAAAACACCTGGCACACACGGCTTACAGGAGGAAGTGGTCGGTGCAGCTCACAGTTTCCAGGTCTCAGTCAATGGTCTGCTCCAAGGCAGGAACATCTTGGTGGAAGGGGCCAGGCTGAGCAAGAGGAGAGGACAGAGAGCACTATGGAGGAGAAGGCTGGGACCAGATATAGACCCAAGGTGACACCTCCACGACCCACCGAGCAGCACCCAGAAGGATGCTGAACCCATTTCCCAGGCAGTTCCCAAGCTGATGTAGGTGAGAGTTGAGCTAAAGCATCACCAGCAGGTCCTGCACCCACACTCCCTCCACAGCCAGCTCGCGTGTGCCCTCTTCACCCTCTTGAGCTATCGCCTTTCCTCAGTGTCGGGTGGGGAGCTGGCACCAACCCCCACACATTACTAACCAAAGCTTCCAGTTTTCACTGGGGTTCACTCCATGCAGTAAACTGTGGATTCTGTCAAATGCAAAATGCCATTATGGTATCAAACAGAATAATATCACTGCCCTAAAGCTCCTCTGTGCTCTGCCTGTTCAGCCCTTTCCTCAGTTCCCCGACAACCGTGAGGTTTTTGCTGACCCCACAGCTTTGCCTTTTCCAGGATGTCACACTACGGTAGATTCAACCATGCTCCTTGTAGCTATGCCTGGACTCTGCACTGTAGGACTCTGGGTAATTCTAACAGGCAGCACTGTTGAGAACCACTAGACTACAGCTTAGGGTGACTGTACGTTCATTTACCTGGAAGTTTTTTCATGATCCGGCAGCATCTTCCTTCTGTTTCACAGAGAGAAAGTTTGTCCTGAGAGTGGAGAGGTTTAGCAGGATCAGGCAGACACAAGTAGCTTCCAGGAGAGGAGGCTGCTCTGAAGTCAATCACCCAGTGCAACTCCAAGGGCCGCATCTCTCATGTAAGCCTGCACCCAGGCATACATTACCTTATGGATGTGGTTGGTTCTAAACCAAACACAGCCCTAGTGCAGCACATCCAGCCACAGCCCTGAGACTGTGGTGAGTTTCATGGCCTTGATGTAGAGTAGCACAGACAGGCAGGCACTGCAGGACCAGGAGAAGCAATATGACCACACCCACCTGTGAGTTACTGCTGTTTGCAGTATCCACTCAGTTCTCCCAGGAGCTCCGTGAAGTAGGAATCATTATGGACCCATTTCACAGATGTGGAGTTGAAGTACAGAGCAGAAGGTGATTTTAACAAAAATCACAAAAACAAGGCAGGCAAGATTTGAACTCAGGGCAGCCAACCTGGTCCTGAGATACTCACTGCTGGTTCTGTGAACCATTTCTCCTGGGCTCTGTAGTTTCTCAGGCGCACAAAGTTGTACATGGTTTCTGAAAGACCCTTCCTCCCTCAACAGCCTGGGCCACCAGGCTCTGGGGGTGGAAGTGGGACACAGCCGTGGGGCCTTTTTATTTCCTGAAAGCTGACTGCATTCATCTGGCAAGGGTTGGAAAGTCCTGAGCCCCTCCCCCTGGGAGCAGGAGGTCCCTGTATCTTCACCTCCACTCCCCTCTCCTCCCTGGGTTAAGAACCCGAACCCCATGTTTTCAGAGCCAGTGACTGGAGAGCTCCTCACTGGGGAACTTCTCTGCACCTTGTAGCTGTTGCTGTTAAATATTTTGTGTTCCGGGGGGAAACAGCACTTTAACTAGGTCATCTTTTGTTGGCAGTTACGCATTTTAGATCTAAATCCACCCATCAGAGAATGCAGCCTGAGCAGAACCTCAAGGAGCAGTTGTTTAATGAAAACTATACATTTTGCCCACTGGGTCTGATAAATAATGCAAAGTGTTTGATTAAAAACAAAATGAAGCAGGAAACATTGGTTTGCCAGTTACCGAAGAAGCCACTCAAGAGGCTGTGGAATTAGGAGTGGCTGTTGTAAATGCTTCTGTGACTAAATCATTCAAACACAAGACACCACCACACCATGAGAGGTACATTACAGACACCTGTGGGTGTCACAATCACATCTCAGGATGTCTCTACTCTTGGTCTTCCATAGTAGGTATTGTCCAATCGCTGGGCAGCTCAAGCCAAATCTGGTTGCCCATGTGAGGTGATGTGAACGTTCTGGGACCAACGATCGTGGTCAGGAAAATGGGACGCCTGAAATGGCAGAGATTTGGACTCAAGGAAGCAGCTCTTGGCCGAGGGCAGGAACTGTCCAGCCCCAGAGACTGAGATGGGAGACAAGGGTTTCTCCTGATGGTGGATTCTCCCTTTCCAATGGGAGGTTGCTGGGTAGATGGTGTCGGCTCAGTAGGAACAGGAAATACCTGCGTGGCTTCCACACAGAGGCGACCCTCTAGCTCTCAGATAAGGTCCCTCCTGAGTGCTCTTTTCCATTTTTTAATTGTTCAGTTTCCCATTTGTTTCTTGAAAAAGAAAGTATCTCAACTGTGCTGCTAATGGAGAAAGAACATCCCGGTTACAAAGAGGAGCAGAGGTTGGAGCCTGGCGGCAGTTCTGGGTGGAACCTCGGGGCTGGGTCAGGACTTCCCAAGCAGATGCCTCCATTTCCCCCATAGCTTTGACAACCCCTGCTCTCCTCCTGCTTCTTCCCCCTGGAATGCCCTCGCATCTACTCTTCTCCATCCATCCTGTCCTTCACCTGTGAACCAGGCTGGCTGACTGGCTGGGTGGACCATGGAGAGTGTACAGAACACAGCTGGGTTCCTCACACCACTGCCCAGCCATTGGTGTCCTCTGAGAGTCCTCAGAATCACGGGCACCAAAAGCTTACTCAGGGAAAATGAGACAAAACAGCAGTCACTTTGACACAGAAGACAGCATGTGGGTGGCGGGCAGGGACCACGTGACACAGCAGCCTCCAGACCAGCACAAAGTGCTACCCAGGAATCTGGGGACAAAACCTAGGGATGTCTGAGATGTCCCAGAGCCTCACGGTCACAAGAACTGATCTCCATCCCGTGACAAAATAGCCTCTCATGACGTAACATCAGCACTCTGAAATTTGTCCAGCTTAACACTCTCACCTAACACACTGCGGGTCTGCTTTGGGCATAGAAATTGTGAGGGCCAGTTGGGATGGCACACTTGGGAGGCTGAGGCAGGAGGATTGCTGTGAGTTGGAGGCTAGCCTGGACCTCACAGAAATAACTTGTCTAAAAAGAAGAAAGAAAGAAAGAGAGAGAGAGAGAGAGAGAGAGAGAGAGAGAGAGAGAGAGAGAGAGAGAGAAAGAAAAGAAGGAAAGAAGGAAAGAAGGAAGAAAGAAAGAAAGAAGGAAGAAAGAAAGAAAGAAAGAAAAAGAAAGAAAGAAAGAAAGAAAGAGGAAGGAGGGAAGAAAGAAAGAGAAAGAAAAAAGAAAGAAAGTAATGTGAACAGAAGGGAAGGGAAGGGAAGGGTTGTGAGGGAAGGAAGAGTGACTGGTCCCTGTGTACTGTTCCCTCCCCTCACCCTGTTTCTTGTTCCTGCTTTTGTTTTGTCTGTTTGAGCCTGCACCCATATGATTTAAGGGCTGAGAGGCACCAGTGCCCAGGACTTCCTCAGTGGAGTCAGCACCAGCCTGACCTGAATGGGAGGGGGTCCCCGAGCTGCTCTAGTCAGGACCACACCCCTGTCTTCAGTCCACCTTGACCAAGTGTTGTCCACATATGATGAATGCATGGTGCCTATTTCATCATTCTCATCGCCTGATGATGTGGGAGTCTTCATTTAACAGAGGTTACATCTGCAGACTCCACCCTTGTCTCCTAGTTAACTGCATCTCTCTCCTGCTTCTTGAGGTTTCCTTCCCCTCTGTTCATGTGGCATGTGTCTGTCCTGTACCTCCTTTCCTAGTTTACAAAGCACCGGGCTTGAGCAGAGACAGAGTCATTGCATCAGATGTGTGTGTTTGCTGGAGGACTTTGGTGTCTTTCCGATCCTGAGAACTCAGCAGAACCCAATAAAGGTGGTTGGTGGTTGTTGGGACATGGGGAAGAAGGACTTGTGGCTGGCAGGCAGTGTGTGTGCTTCTGGCCCTGACTGTGAGGTGCTCTGTGGTGCAGGGAGCCCCTAAGGCCATCTGTGCAGCATGAGACTACCTGGGTCACAGGCACCCCCTTTTCCAGTGCAGGATGGCTCAGGGGCTGTGAAGTCTGTCTGCCTCTGGGCCATGCTCAGCTGCTTTCTGGAAGCTTCTGTTGCTTGAGTGATTTCAGCAATATTTTTTTTTTTTTTTTTTTAATTTAAGAGGAAAAAGAGAAAAACACAAAACAAACCAAAGCAGTGTAAGGGTACATAGTTCTGTATTACGTGTACCCTTACACCGCTTTGGTTTGTTTTGTGTTTTTCTCTTTTTCCCTGGTTAGTACTTGGATGGGAGCAATATTGGTTTTGGCCAGTGATGTCCCCTTGAGCTACAGAAGAGCAGCTGTCCACCCTGGGGGACAGTGAAACAGCACTGGAGGTTGCCTAGGGCGTATTTACCAACACAGCCAGGTGACAGACAGCCATGCTGAGTGTGAGCTTAACACAATGTTGGGGATGGGAAAAGAACCAGACCCCTCCTGTCACTCTAGGAGCAAATCTCCTTTCCTGAAATGACCTTGGGAGGTTTCTGTGTCCTGGTGTAGAAGCGTACCCTGTTCTTCCCACTGTTTTCCTGGTGTGCCTTTGATCGTTCCTCTCTAACCTGTGCCACAAAGAAACGATTATACCCAAAGACAAACCTCATTGTGAGTCAAGGCAATTCCAAGTATGGCTGTTTTGCTAAGAAGAGGAGGAGGTCCAG